TAATAGAAACTATTGAATCTAATTAAATCAGTAATGTGTTTATCAAAAATGGGTTATATGAAGAAATTAGAAAATAGAGAAATATGTAATAGATTTTCAGAGTAAAAGTCTAAATTAAAGGAAGATAAAAATAAAAAGGAAGGGAAATTGACTATTAATAAAGAATTTTATGATGAATTGTTTGAAGATTATTAGAAAACTTTAACTGAATAATAAAGGAAATTGGTTTTATAAAGTAAATACAAATGAAATATTGATAGCATAAAAGGTTGAAAGTGAAAAATAAATTAAATAATAGGTTTAGAGTCAAGCTTTATCAACTGTTTAAGCTAAATTATAATTTATTATTCGAACCAGGAAATCTTCTAGTAGTAAAATGAATGTAGAAGAACCAATAAATGATCCTGATAATGATGAAGTCAAATTAGAGTAAAATGAATCTTAACCTGATATGCTTTTACAAGATAATGACTTATAAAATGATACTAGTGCATTCGAAAAATCATATCATGATATGTCTATGTAAATCAATCAAATTACAAAATCTCCAAAAAAGAAAAGAAAATCTCCAATTAAAACTTAAACTAAATTATACATCTAAAAAAATGAAAGCATTAATAATTCTCAATAAGGAATAAAAGAAAAACCAAGTAATTCTTATGCTCCTAGTCCTATCAAACTTATTAATAATAATAATAATAATAATAATAATGCAATAAAAAATTAAATTAAACTAAAACCTTTATAAACTCAAGTTGAACCACCAAAAGAAATAATAACTAATACTACAATACTTAATCCTAATCCAATCAATTATGAACCTAATTTTCGATCTGCTATTAGACCTATTAGATAAGCACATGTTCCAAGATTATCTAGACTTAGTGTAGATAGAGATCAAGTCTAACCAGCAGTTTTAGATCTCTCTAGTATGGCTATGGGTGGTTTTAGTCCTGTTCATAGTAATTAATTTTTATTTCCTTCTAAAATTCCAAATTATTGTCCTTAAAAAAGAGTATATTAAAATGAGTTTCATCCTTCAAAAGTACTATAATCTTTAGCATCAAAAAAACCAAATGATCATTATAATTTTATTAATGGTGGGCCTAAATGAAATATATTAAATATAATTTGTTCTTAAATTAAATTTATAATTAATGAATTAAAACAATACAATAAATATTAGAGCAATTAGAAATAAGAAATCAATTAAAAAGGACTTATCATTATAACCAAAGAACATTCATGATCAATTCTATTAAGAATCTGATGATAGTGAAGATGAAAAAGTATTATTTAGTATAATTAATATAGATATTATCAAAAATTGGAAGATTACAAACAAAGAAATATAAAGATAAAGATTTTATTGGTTATGATGAGAATCTAAACAAAATTTAGAAAAAAAAATAGTTTTAAGATACTATTGATGAATTTATTAATAAGACTGAAAATAAAGATTGGTGGAGAGTAGTTAGAGATGAATTAAACAACTAAGATGTAGTATTAAGTGATAAGCAATTATAAATGTTAGACAGAATTAGAACAGGAAAAACTGCAATTAAATTAGCAGATGATGTAAATAAAAATTATATAACTCTATTTAGTATTATTTTGAACATGAAGATTTTAATTAATTTGATCTCTTATCATCTTATAATCCTAAACGTAGATTCTTGCCTTCAAAATGGGAAAGAATAAAAATTAATAAATTAGTATAAGGCATAAAATTAGGGAGAATTGTTTTAAATCCTCCTTAAAAAGTTGAAAAGATGTTTGATATATGGGAAAATGTTGCTGAAGATTAAGTATTAAGCAAATACTTACCAGCCAGAATACCAGCAGCTAAGGCTTCATTACCATCTAATGTTGCTAGTTATAATCCTCCAGAAGAGTATCTATTTACTGAATAAGAAAAGTAATAATGGTTATAAACTGATCCAGAAGATAGAGATATACCATTTATTCCATAAAAATTTAAACATTTAAGAAATGTTCCTTCATCTGAATAATTAACAAAAGATTTATTTAATCGATGTTTAGATTTATATTTGGCACCTAGAATTAGAAGAAAGAAATTGATGATGAAATCAACAGACTTTTTACCTGAAATTCCTAAACCAGAAGAATTAAAACCTTTTCCAACAAAATTAAATTTTGAATTTGGTTAGATTGATACAACAAAATCAGGTTAAGTGAAATAAATATCTATATCATAAGATGGTTAACTTTTGGGTGTATGTTATGAATTTGCTATTGCCTTTTTTGATACAAAAACAACTAAATGTTTATATACAAAATGGTAATCAGATGATAAATAATTTTTGGGATTAGATTTCAGTTAATCTGGATTAATTTGTATTCTATAATCAAATGGATTCATCATTTTAAATTCATATATTGATAAAAGATAACATCCAAATGTTGAAGATGGTGAAAAAGCAAATAAATAAATTCAAAAAAACTCAAACAATGTCTTCGAATGGAATTTTGAATTGGATGACAATGTTTTTTAATAATTACTTGAAGTAAAAATGCCTTATGATCCTTTGTATGTTTAATTTCATAGTAAATCTGATTATATTGTGAGTACATAGCCTCATACTCATGTGAAATCTCATTGCATTTTAGTTCATTCTATTAGTAAATCATCAACATCTATTCCCTTTTAAAATATGAAAGCATCAACTGAAGTTTAATAAACTATCTTCCATCCTACAAAACCAGAATTATATATTATGACAAATAAAAACATTTTTATTTATTCATTAACCAAATAATCATTAATGAAAAAACTACTTGCAGGTAATTAATAAAACTCAACAATTGCAATACATCCTTATGGAGATAATTTAATTGTAGGATCAAATGATTAAAAAGTATGTTGGTTTGATTTAGATATGGGCAAAACTCCTTTCAAAAAAATGAGTTATCATAAAAATGGAGTTAGACGTGTAATTTTCCATAAAACTTATCCTTTATTTGCCTCTTGCTCTGATGATGGTATAATATTTTCTTATCATAGGAACTATTAACATTTTCCATTGTCGTATTAGTACTGATTTAAATCAAGCACCAGTAATTCTACCTTTGAAAGTGTTGAAATAAAAGAAGAAGGAATCTGTGATGGATGTTGCATTTCATCCAACTTAGCCATGGATTTATTCAGCAAGTAAAGAAGGAGTAGTAAGTCTATGGACTTGATGTATATAAAAATTATAATATATTTATTAATATGTTCATATAATTGTTTGATTTCTATTCAAATTTTATATTAAAAAAGTAATTATTTGAATAAAATTATAAATATCTGCTTTTTCTATATTTATGAATATTCATTATTGAATCAATTATGTCAAACATTTTTGAGTTAAATAAATGAAAATGGAAAAAAGAATACTGCAATAATATTAAATTATTTCATCTTTAACAAATACTTAGAATTATAAATATAAATTAACTAAAAAAAAGAAAAGAACTAAAACTATTTAATATTCATTATAATTTTCAATTGATTTGATTAAAAGGAGGAATTAAAATCCTAAAAAATGATAATTTATTATTTATAAAAAATTCTAGAAAAATTGTTAATTGGATTAATTAAAAATTTGGATCAACTTTGAATTTAATCTAAATTCCAATAAGATGGAAGAATTCTTTGATAATTTTAATGTAGATTATTCTTTTACAATTTTATAGTTTTATTCTTTGTTTTACAAAGATGACTAAATTACTCATTATCCCTCATACTTTTTAGATTAGTAAGTTTATATTAATTAGACTTTTTTTTGTAGTTCTAGAATTTACAATCCCCTAACATATTTTGTATATTAAAATTTTAAGGATAAATTTAACCTTATAGTGTAACTATAAGAAGAGATTGATTTTTCAACTACTAATTAATAGAGAGTAGGTTTGTTTTGTAAAAAATATGATTGAATATTTATGTAAATAATAATAATTAATATAAAAAATGATTAAAAGGAATCAATAATTAAAGAAATAAATAGCACCTTCTAGAAATTAAAATAATAAAGCATGTCTTAAACCTTAAGTTTTTTAATTTCCACAGTTAATGAATAAAACCTCTACATTTACAGAAGCAATTAGATTTTAAGGGTAAATTCAATAACCATTTACACCAGATGTTATGATTAGACAATCTTTAAATAAACCAAGAATGATTGAATAACCAAAATCTAAAAACTATTATGGAGTATAACGCTTTTCAGCAAAAATTGTTTCAAAACAATAAAATAATGTTAAGGAACCAGTCATAATTAAAATAACTACAAATAAAAATCATAAGGTTATTCAATAATTAGAAGAATAGAGTGAATATTAATTAAGTGAATTAGGAACATTTGATGATTTGATTCAGCAAATTTAAGAAAGAGTAATGGCTAAAAATTCAAACATTTTATAATTAGCATAAGACATTTGTTAAATAGAAACAATAGATTTGAGAGGTTTATAATGTATACCATAATTAATTAAACACCTTGTGATTTCATCAGTTTAGTAATAACTTCAAATTTCATAAATACTATCTATCTTATTCACATTAAGTGAAGAAATTATGACTAGAGATGATTTAGATGAATCTTTAATGGAAATCATTAAAGTTTATTTGCAAAAGGGTTATGAATCAAATCTTCAAATGATAGTTGTCTTTCTAAAACGTTGTGGATAAATGATTTATTATATCAGAGCTAATAAATAGAAAGTTTTGAGTGAACTTATTATAACATTGTTAATTAAATTTAATGATAGTAATTAATTTGAAGAATCTCAATTGCGATTGGCATTTAATATTATATTGAGACACAAATAATTGAGATTATATATAAAGGATAATTAAGATATTTTTAAGTTGAAACAACCTTCATTAATAGATTAATTATAGAGATTTAAAATTAAAATTAATTGACTTAGTTTATATATATATATATTATTATCTTAAAATAAATTTCAAATGATCATAAATTCTATTATAAAATTCAAATAAAAATGCAAAACCATGACAGAAACATGTAAAATAAAAATATTGGATAAACTGAAATAACTTTCTTTTCTTCATTCATCATACTACTCATAAAAGACAACGATGCTATTAATAATGTTAATAAATTTACAAAATGTTGACCATAAAAATGCAACTCCAACAATTATTATTCTTAAGAAAAATCCAAAATATGATTAAAAGAAAGTTATCAAAACAGCAGCTATATTTATTGGAAATACACAATAACCAAGTACACAAACACTCTAAAAAAATGAAACTTATCCACCTAACAATTTTGCATTTACTCTAAATTCAAACTTAAATTTTAAACTTACGTTATTACTGCAGATCCACCCCACATTATAATAAAAATTGTACCAAAGATAGTATCAGCTAAAAATCAATTATCTCAACTAGTACATGATTGATTAGAATTTATTCCTAATGTCCTAATTTATAATCATTTTATATTTACATCGCTAACAATAATGATAAAAGAAGTGGTCCCCATAAATCCCCTAATTTAATTTAATCTATTCTTTTACAATTTCTTAATTTCCTTCCTTGGGTCTCCTTCATTCTAGGAATTATGACATATGATAATTTATATAGTATCATATTGATATCTCTCAACTTTATAATCAAAATCAAATTTACTAAAGTATCCGTAACTGGCTCATCTAAAGTATTCACTTATACTTCTTATTAATTCATATGAGCATAATCCACAAACTTTGCTTGACCTTAAAACATTCCACTTCCAAAAGGAACTTATTGATTATCAGTCATTTATATTAATTATATATATATAATATATAATTAACTTAAGCAATAATATATCTATATATTCAAAACCTCATATAATCATTATATTTTAGAGTTCATCTAATTGTTATTGTATCTCTATTTCTTAGTTATTTATGAATATTTATCCTATAACATTCTATATATTCTTTTACATTATAAGTATCATTAAAAATTAGAATAAATTCGATATTTCTAACATAAAATATAATTAATGGAAAAAAATCAAAGTTTAATTAATAAAGTATCACCATTTGCTTCAATAACTGAGGGATAAAAGTACATAATAACAAAAAATCTACCTCAATTAATTTAAATGGTTTTAAAGGATGCTGCTGAATTTCAATCGACTCAGATATAAAAATTAAAGGCTCTATAATAATTAAAGATGATCTGTTGTATTGCAGACATTGGAGAATATCTTACTTAAATATTTAAGTTATTGGCCAAAATTTATACAAATGATGATAAATATTATTTGAATGAGGTAAAAATAAATATATATCATGATTAGTGTAAATAAATATGTTATGTAATTGGATTAAAGAATCAAATAGATTATTATTTACCAACAATGATAAACTAAGCTAGATTCGAATTATAAGCATAATAATCAAAAACTTTATGCAATCTTATTAATATGATAAGTGAAACAATAGTACATGAAAATGATAATCTTGATCTTTAAAGTTTGGTTCATCTAATTGGAGATATTGAAAGTGTCTATTCTGATTGTTGGGAAGTGATGGAATGTGTTTATTATTTAGAAAATAGAATTATAGGTTAATCTTAACAAGAATTACCTATTTATGTTAGATAGTTATTCTAAGCACTTTTGACAATTAGATCATTTAATAAGATGGATTGTGAACCATTACTTAATTAATTGTCAACTAAATGTGGTTATACTAGTGTAACTGATTTACATGCAAATGAAATAAGTTTAATTCTAGAACAAATAGTAAATTAAGAACATTTTAAGACATGGAAACACAACACTAGGGAATTCTTAAAATTTAAGGCTATTGTAACAGGATGTGGAGATGGTATATCTAAATACATGCAATAAATTATATAAATAATGAAATATTCTTTGGGAGGTGATTAGGAAGTGGAATTACGTTTAGAAGTACTATTGTTATTAGATAAAGTGGTTTAAATTTAATCAATCAAAGAAACTATTAAAATGTATTCTGCAGTGATGATATCATAATTATTAATATAATCAATGGTATGGAAATCAAATAAACCAACTGTAAAAGTAAGAAAAGCTGCTGTAATAATTACACTTTATTTGAGTGAGATGCTTACTTAAGAGGAAATATTGGAATTATTTCCAGCATTAGCTGCTCCATTGAAATCTTGTATGACAGATGATTGGGCACCAGATTTGAGATTTGCATCTAGTAAATTGGCAACAAGTTTAATCAAAAAATGTTAGATTTTAAATTATGAAATTATAAGAGATTTCTATCCTTCTCTTTTGGAAAGATTAGATGATTCTTAAAATTAAATTAGAATAGAAATTACTTATGCAATAGCTGCAATTATGTAGTAAAAATATGATTCAACAACAATATTGGAATATATTGTCAAAGCTACATTGATACACTTAGATGATTCAAGTGAAGAAGTTCAAAGAGCAGTTTTTGAGTGTTTATTGAAATGTCCTGAGAAAGGAGTTGTATTAAAGGAGGCAGAATTTGCAGTAAAGAATTTCAAATATCCACGTTTATGTTAAGAATTGATTAAATTAGTGAGTTGAATGTATTTGGTTATGAGATATAAAAATAATTAATTTAACAATGTACTTAATTTATAATATAAGAAATCAAAATATTAAAATAAATAAGCATTCTTATTAGAATTAAAGTTTTCAATTCAATACATAATTTATTATTAAAATTTTAATTTTGTAATTATTTTAGTCTTGAAAAGTAGCAAACTTTGGGAAAAAAGTGAAATAATTAAATTAGCTATCTCTTTGAATGAATTCGATTTCTATCAGGAATAGATCTTTCTCAATTTAAATTCTTTCTTCTCTTTTAGTTCATCATTTTATCATATTCAATCATTTAACCAAATTAAGAACCATAAATAATTTAAGATATTTTAATAATCTTTTAGATAAGCTTTGTTAAGATTGGATGGTATTTAAGTTTATTTATGCGCAAAAATTTTAATTAAAAAATTATTAATAATAAAATGAATTAATAAAAAAAGATAAAGATTTAAATTTAGCCATAAAATATTCCAAATTTAAATTCCATCACATTTCAGTTTGCATAATAGGAAAGCTTATTGAAATAAGCAATTTAATTTATTCTTGGTAATAATATCAACCATTATTTAGATTAAAATGAAGAAATAGATTAATAGAATATAATTTTTTATTCAAAATAAAAAAAAAGAGTCATTTATGAATAAGAAACTGTGGATAGGTAATATGAGTCTATATTAATATAAGTATTATCGACCTAGACGAGAAACCTGAAATAGAATTATATTTATTCAATGATATTCTAAATCGTTTAGCTTCTAAATAAGAACAAAAAATAGAAATTATAAATTAATAATCCAATGGTGATTCTAAGAATTAAAACACCAAAATTGAGATGGCAGCATTGAATAAATAAATAGAAGAATTACTTTAAGAAAGAAATGAATTTAGAGAGAAATGTTCTTCTTTAGAAGAGAAATTAAGAAATTTAAAGAAATAATAGTAAGAAAAGCCAAATTTTTAAAATGATTAATAAAATACCACTAATCTTGAGAGTTATAGATTGAAATTAGAATAATCAATAAAATCAGTAACATAACTAAAAGATATAAAGTAAAAATAAGAAAAGTTTTTAGAGGAACTAGATAAAAAATTACATCAAAAATAAGAATAGCTTACCTAAGAAATTTAGAAAAATACATCTCTTTAATAAGCTAATATTAATGCTCTCAGGGATTAATAAACACTAGAAGGGAAATTGTAAACTTTAAGGGAAGAATTAAAAAAAACTATCTATCAATAAGAAAAACTACAAAAAGAAGTTGATTAAAAAAGCAAAAGTCTTTAGGATACATTAGTGATTTTAGATTCATTTAAACAATCCACTCACTCTCAAGAAGAAAAAATTATTTAGAGAAATAATATTATAAGTGAAAAAGAAAAAAAAATCAATTAACTTTCAGAAGAGATTATATTGCTCAAAAAAGATAAGGAAAAACTATAATCAGATTATTCCAGTTTGATTGTTGATAAATAGGAAAAAATTATAAAATTAAAATTATTAGAAAAAGTAGATAATAACTTGAAATTTATAAGTTACTTTATTGAAAATAATCCTTTTAAACAATTAAATGATTTATTCATAACCCCAATTGATGCTATGTATAGAAAAAAGCTAAATCCATATGAGTTTGAGAAATAGTAAAATGCCAATACAAATATTTGTGATGCAACCGTTAAAAAACTTTCAATTGAATCTGAGTAAAATGTATTATAATGGTTGCAATTTAAATCAGATAAATCTATAAATGAATTCATCAAAAAGAATCCTTAAAAAATGTTGAAAGTTTTAAAATCAATAAATAAAGTAAGATTAATAATTATTATTTAAGGATGGTTAAGGAACTAAATCAAAATGTTTTCTAATGCAGATTTAATAGATTTATCATAATGATAAGTCTCTTGAAAAAAAAGTTTTTGCACTTAAAATTATTGATGGACATGAAGTTATAACAAAGGAAGAACATGCTATATTTTTAGCATATTAAATAATTGTTGCCTAAGTTTTAGCTGAATGCTTTTAATAAAAATTAACAAAGTCACCATTCAAATTTGAATTTTAGCTACCACATTTGTTCACTATTGGAGAGAGTAAGTTATAGCTTTTAAATTAGATATCTACCTTGGATAAGAATTATTGAATCAAGATTATAAGAGTTTTCAGTAAAATGTTGATAATTCAGTAATCAAACTGTTCAATGCCTTTTCATAATTCACAAGTGATTTTACTTCTGGAGCATTAATTGTTACAAATTTTAAGGGAGGGTAATTGGTTGGAAATAAATATATATTATTTGAGCCAATTATACATACTCCTGGTGGAATATTTGGTCCAGAGGACTAAGGTCAAATTGGATTTGATCTTGTTCTCTAATCACTTAGGGAAAACCCTGAATTAAATGGATAAGAATACCTAAAAGGATTAAATTATAATATTTGATAATTATATCTAATCATCGAAAAATATTCGATTATATATATATTTTTTATTTTTCTTTACTTTTTTATTATACTTACTTAATCACTTAAAATAAAATAATTGAATATTTTTAGAAAATCATAATGAAATGGCTTTCAAATCAATCAAATTATTACCAAATATAGGAATTTCAACTTATTATTAAGTTTTGAGTTATTTACATAATTAAACATGGTTAATTCTAATTCATACAATGTAAATTTTTTAATTTAAAAAATGTTTCAAAGATTCAAGTTAGAATGAATTTCTGTAAAGTAATTTTTTTTCACAAAGAGAACTTCATATTAAAGAGTCTTTTAATAATTCCATTATATTGTAGAATTTCTTTTTCAAATTAATTAATATTGTTATTCCAGAAGTAAAAGGTACGACTTAACAACAAATATAATCATTAGAATGAAAAGAAGAGGAAATAATTAAGTTATTGAATAAGATTCCGATCAAAAGTAGCAAAGTAGAAAGTATTGGAAAGAAGAGGAAGATAATAAATTGCATGCTGCTGTTTTAAAACACGGTTCTAATTGGAAGTTGATTGCTGAGTTTGTTCCTGGTAGGAATGCATCTTAATGTGCACAAAGATGGAAAAGAATAAAACCGAAGGAAGTAAGAAGATTTAAATTAGGATTAGAATGAAAGAAATCAAAAATGGACTGAAGAAGAGGATAAAGAAGTATTAAGACTTACAAAAATATATTAATTTAACTGGAAATAAATAGCAAATGAGATTCCAAATAGAACAGGTCGATAGATAAGAGAGAGATATGTAAATCATTTGGATTCTAATATCATTAAAACACCTTGGACTAAGCAGGAAGATAAAAAGATTTGGGAAATGTACTAAAAAATGGGCACAAGATGGTCAGATATGTCAAAGAAAATGCCAGGAAGACCTGTAAAAATAACATAAATTTTAGGAAAACATGATTAAAAATAGGTTTTATTCCTTTATCAGAAAATAATATGGAAAAATTTAAAATCCTTATTATATTGTACCTAGTAAAGTAAGGGTTTTAGAAGAGGATGGATTAAAATAGAGTTAGGGAATGAAAAAAATAAGAAAATTTAAAAAAATTTAATAATCATTTAAAGTGGAAGAAGAAATAGAAGGAAAGTAAAAAAATAACAATTAAGAGAACAATTAACAATAATTATAATCAGAGCTACAATGCTAGTAGGTATAATTTACATAGTTTTAAACACAATAATCTTAGTAGCAATAGTAAATATAATTTTCTTAATCATAATTTCCCTCGTTATAACATTCTCAAATATAACAACAATCTCAATTTCCACAAATAATAGATCCATTTTCATTTTTTTAAGATTCGATAAGATCAGATTCATATAGAGTAAATTAATATCCGGAGGCTATAAAGCAGTATTAAGATTTTCAAAATTGGTTAAAGGAATCCTTAAAATCCTCATCAGATCCAGAATTAAATCGAATGCACAAGTTCGAGACACCAATGATGAGCTTTTTGTACATGAATCCGAGTTTAATCCATTCAATTCAATAGTAGCAGTAGCCAATTTTTATGAAAGAAGAAGAAAATGATAAATTATTTGGAGGTTTAGAGGCATCTTTGCCAGTTTAAATAAGACCTGATATATTTGAGGAGATGAAAAAAACTAATGCTGAAACACACTAACAATAATAGCTTTTAAGTCATCAATAAAAGTAATAATGATTCAAAAAAATTGATTGTTAATATATTATTTGAATGTCCAATATGGATCAAATTCCAACTTTAGATTTGACATATTATTCAAAGCTTGGTTAAGTTAATAAGCCAAGAGCCTATTTACTGATCTCGATTTCCTTATTATATTCTGTAACAGTTCTATTATAGAGATCAGTTTCAGAAGCATAGTTATCGTTTTCAGCTTATAATTAGGCTTGAAGTGTAGCTCTGTCATCTTTTCTTTATCCGACATAGACTATGGTTTCTCCAAGTTTTTCTGAAAAATCAAAATAAATTCTTACATTCATTAGCAGCAATTTCAGAGTTCTTGATGAGGACAGCTCTTTAGAATTCAGCAAATTCCTTTTCTAATTAAGCTACTCTTTCAGCAAATTTTGTTTCGGCTGCACTCTCATCAGCTGTTTCTTGGTTTAAAGTATCAACAAATTGAACTCTCAATTCATTGAAGATCTTCACCAATTATTAAAGTGATCCTTAATCAGTAAAATTTTATTCTGTTGCTAATTCAAGTAAGGCCTTAATAATTGGGGCAAATGAAGAATGGTTTTAGAATGAATTTTGGATTCTTCCTAAATTAGTTTGAACTCTTTTGAATTAAACTAATGATGGGTTAGTAATTTAAGAAAGTAATCCTAAAGATTCATCAACAGCACCAATTGCTTCATTGATTTCAGCAATGTTGGATAAGAATTACTCGTGTTATTTCTTTCTATTGACTGTTTCTGAATCAAGAATTCTTCTGTTTTCCTCAATGTTGGTTTTCAATTGAGCAAGAGCATCTTAGAATCTTTATTTTTATGGAATGAGTACGTTGTCAATGAAGTCTTCTCCATTGAAAATGTCTAATAATATGATATAAACATTAACCTCTATCAGCATCTTAAATTTCTTATTCATATCTTGTGACATCTCTGTTATGTTCATCTGTTCTTCTAGAGTAGGCTTGATGAATGTCATCTAATTCCTCCTCTAATTAATCGATCAATTAATTGATAGCTTCAACCAATTCTGTCAAGGCTCCTCCACTTCCCAATTCCACTTCTGCAAAGTCAACTATGAAAGAAGCCCATTTAGATTCTCTTAATTTGGCCAAAACTTCCTCTGAATGTCTCTCCATATTGAGTTCAACACTCAACACTCCTAATATTAGGCAAATTAATAATCCTGTTCTCATATATTTTAAATAATAAAAACGACTATTGTAATTTATTCATTAATTATATTAGCTATCTTAAATATTTATTTTTAAGTATTTATTTTCACATTATAACACATTATTTCATTTAATTTACTCCTATTCACAATTTTATTCTAACCATGCCATTTTATTAAATTATTATTGTATTATCGTCAATTTTATTAACTTATTTTGATTCCTTGAATTTATCACAATTGAAATTTATAAAATTTCATATTCTTAGCATAAATATTACATAAGGTGCCAGCAATTTACTGTTATATTTATTATTCTATTGAATAAAAATATCAATATAATTTTTAAATCAATTTCTATTAGAAACATTATGTAAATTAGTTATAAGGAAGCAATAGAGCAATAATTTGAAAATAGTTATAGAAATCCTGAGTAAAAAGGTGAAGGAGCCTTTTCAAAAGTCTACAAATGTCAAAATATATTTGGAGAATCTGTGGCTATTAAGGTTTTAGATTTCTTGATTTTAGGTTGTCAGTTTATTTAAAGTAAAGTCATTAATTATACCTTATCTAAAGAATGAAGTTGAATTATTAAAAAAGAGTGATAATGAAAACGTTATCAAATTGTATGAAGCTAAAGAAACAGAATTTGCTTTGTTTTTAGTTTTGGAAGTCAATATTATTATTTATGCTTTAGTATTGCGAGTTTGATGTCAGAACTATGATGAAAAGATTTTTTAAAAATAAGTTACCCGAGGATCTTGTAATTGTTATTCTTAAACAATTAGTAAATGGATTACATTATTTACATAAAAATAAAATTATTCACAGAGATTTAAAATTAGAAAATATAGGAGTAGTAATTTAGCCAGAAGATTTATGTAAACTGACAGCATCCAATGAACATTTATATGAATCAATTTTTAAAAATGCTTCTTACAAATTACTTGATTTAGGATTAGCGAAATAGTTTATAAATTAAACAAAAACTGTAACTTTCGCTGGAACTGAGGTTAATATGGGTATATTTTTGAATTTATACTTTTAGCTCCTGAAGTTTTGGAAAGGAAACCGTATTCGTTTGAAGCAGATATATATAGTTTGGGAGTTTGTTTATATTAAATGACTACTGGAGAGTATCCTTATTATGATGTACTTCATTAAAAAGATTAATTCAAATTAATCAAGTAATAAGATGCCAATTTTGAAATAATCGAAAATAAAATTCTTAGAAATTTTATTTAATAAATGCTCAAATATTAAGTTGAAGAAAGATTAACATTTTCATAGTTATATTAATCTCCATATATTTTCAATTCTTAACAAATAATTCCATCACTTTTGGAATCGTCCCTCATTAAAAATTAAGAATTTTATGACTGGAATAAATAATTGGATAATAATCAACTCAGTTAAGGTTCTTCTGAATTGAAAAAATACTAATATGCATAGTTTGATCAATCTTAATTCTCAAAATAAAATAATAATTCCTTACAAAAAAATTTTTTTGAAAAAATTAATAAATCTATAATACACAAATAGAATATAACAAATAATTAAGGGAATATTTAGAATTATGATTTTGAAGAAATGCCAGTTAGAAATTCAAATTAGAAATCTTAAATCGGAAAACCAAAATCAAATCTCATATAAAAATTTGAAAAATTGAAGTAATTAAAGAATTTTATTATGTTGATCTAAAATATTTGTGAAAGGTTGTATAATTTGATTTTAGAAATTCCAGGTATCTTAAAGTATTTTTCTTTTGAAGGGGAATTTTATTGTTATTTACAATATTTTACAAAATTAGGTTAGGATATGGTAAATTAGTTGAAATAAGAAATTAATTCTTAGCCTAATTATTCTGATGATGAATTATTAAAAGAACTCAATGATTCATTATAAAAAATTTAATTCCATAATTTTTTAGATGTGAAATCTTCTAGCTTAAGTAAACATCTTTATAAACTGAGAACATATCTTGAATAAATTGATTCACTTAAAGAGATAAATGAATAAATAATATTAGGGAATTTAAATAAAGATTTCTAAAGGAATAATGCTTTAATTTTTAAACAAATCTTAGTGTTATTATAAAGTATTTAC